CCTCCGTTCTCCTCCTGTTTCCTACTTTGTATCCATTTCAGTGTACCATTTTGGCCTTTTTGTTGCACAAAAGAAACTCAGAACAAGTTTTGCTAAATGTTTGGCTGTGGTTATTAAAGTAGGAGCGAGAATTAAATTGTCAGCTCTTTATGGACTATCGGAACCCAGACATGAGAGCATGTGTGTAAAAGATGCCTGTAGAATTTTAAACATCCTGTTCAGTCCCATGAGATGCCCATCTCTCACAAAACAAGTTTGTGGTTTCTGAGGTGAAACACTGAATAGCTAGAGAGGAAATAGCTAGAGAGGAAAGGGACAAAGATAATTTATTCAGAAGACATCAACTTTCTTCGTTTGCAGCAAAAGCTGTGAACTTACCTATTTCTGGTCCTTGGAAAGCCTACCCAAGGTTATGGGAAAGCTGTTTTTGCAGTTGTTTGCTCAGGTTGCACTATTGTAGAAAGACTCAAAACAAGGGATAGGCCAAGTCTTTACCCAATGTCCTTGACTCTGGAATGGTCAAAGCCAAAGCTTATTAATGAGAAGCCAGAGATGGAACCCAGGGCAAAGATCATGGAAGCCTTTCTGATGGAGGCAGGAATGATGAGGTTAAGGTGGAATACTTCTGCAGAAGACTTCCTTCCCTCTCCATTCTCATGAAAACTGTTTAATTCTGCAGTCACATAGAAGCTTGGGGCTGCCCTCCAGCCACTTCTGGGCCTGCCCTGCAAATGACATTGGCTATTACTATTCTGAAAACACGTGTGTGGGACTTGTTTCCATTGGAGTTCCATTATCTTCACTCCCATCTAGGACCAGCCTTCTACCCAATAGGACTTCTTATGTCGAAGAGTTTATGCAAACAAATAAACAAAAAGTTATCTTCCTGAATAGCTGTGATCCATTTATACATGACTGTATAACCACCAAGTATATTTCAGCTGGCCTCTCAGCCTTTGGAACAAATCGAAGTATTTGTGACAGTCCTCAAAACCTGAATTTCATCTTTATTTTTGAAACTATTTGCAACCCTTTTGCCTAAAGAAGTTAGCTTACTGTGGCGATTTAGACTAGTAATACCTAGTGGGATATATTTTGGCAGCTGTTAGAATATTAAAAAATAAAACAAAACCAAAAAATACCCTTCTACTTCCAATGCTCTTTCCTTCCCCAGTTTTAATTCATAATTTTATGTATCCATTCAGTTTTTCATCCATCAGAACAGTACTGTTTTGTTTTCATAAAATATCTTACTGGTTTCTTATGTATTGTCATCATTAAATGCACTTGGGTTATAACTCAACTCTGTGCAGAAGCTGGTCTTTCATAGTGTCTTTAATAATTCATACCCTCCATAGAATTACTTTAGGCCTTTTAACCAAGTATCGTGAATCTTAACATATCCAGTGTCATTTTAGCATCCAGTTTAGAAAAAAAGGCGATTCTGTGACTGGCCTTGCTGTCTCAGGAGACCTAGAATAAGAATTTTATTCGTGTTTCTTTTAAAGGACGCTTGAAAAACCTAGAGCTTAGAAAACACTGCATATCAGAAGTAACAGAATCATGCTAATTAAGTGACTTTACAGACTGTTAAGCTCCATAGGGATCAGAGAAGGAAATTGTCCATCAAGCTCATCACAGAAACCTCCACTTGAGGTATAGCATTCAAAGTCCAGAAGACACCTAGGGGTTCCTCTGGATTGGATAAGAAGCCACATGCATACTTCTCCCCAGCATATTAGGAAACCACCAATGAAAGCCGGCTACCTTACTAGGTCTAGTGCTACCAAATCCACCTGGGTGAACTGAGTGGCATGCACAATACTGTTGTAATTTTGACATTTCCTCCCCAAAGATGCAACTCTTAGAAATTTGAGGAGCAAACTGTTTAAGTCTGGGAATAATAAAAACTTAAACATGTATTTTTCCAAACTCTACTTCAATTAGGTAGTTGGGGTTGAATTTCTTTATTTTTCTTCCTCTTTTTCCTTTGTTCTTCCTCTCTTTCAAACCTTTCTGAGCTGAAAAGAGACTTGGTTTAGAGGGGGGCATTTTCTCTAGGTTGTTTCTTTCCTCAGTGTCAATTTTCTGTTAACTCCCACTGGGAACCAGTACTCGTAAAATAAAGCAGCTTATGTGATCTGCTTCATTATAATCAAGCCGAATTGGTCTTCTTTCAAAATAGTTGGGTGTTTTGAAGCACTAGTACATTTCAAAGAAATGAGGCCCATTTCCTTTACCAATTCATGTTTGCACAAGATGAGGTATTACTGAAAGAATTTTTCGGTCCCTCTGATGTGTATAAAATGGCTACCCAGAACCTTTATGAATTTCGAGGAGCAAATGAAATAAAAGAAGACTTTTCTCATCTGAGACTAGAATTTTTTAATTAGCTGAAAATTATTCTCTATATTTGAGTGCAGCTGATTCCACTGAAAATGTACCGGTGATGAGACTGCTGCATTTCACACTTGTTTTGCTTATATTTGTAATTGTGATATGGCAGCTTCTTTCTGCTTTTTTAAATCAAGTAATATTTACTCAAGTTGATTCTCTTGCCCGCTTGGAGAAACAGTACTCCCAGTGGACAGGGTTATGGGACCTTTTTTTAATCAATGTTTTAGTGCAGTGCTTCTCAAACTTCAGTGTGCATATAATATCACCTATGGATTTTTTTTTAAAGATTTTATTTATTTATTTGACAGAGAGAGATATAGCGAGAGCAGGAACACAAGCAGGGGGAGTGGGAGAGGGAGAAGCAGGCTTCCCGCCGAGCAGGGAGCCCGATGCGGGGCTCCATCCCAGGACCCTGGGATCATGACCTGAGCCAAAGGCAGACGCTTAACGACTGAGCCACCCAGGCGCCCCTGGATTTTTTTTTTTTAAGCTTCAGATTCTAATTCATCAGGTCAGGGCTGAGGCCCAAGATTCTGCATTTCTGGCAAGGTCCCGGTGATGCTGATGGTCTACAGACCATACTTCGAATAGCAAGATTTTAGAATATCTCTATAGAAAAATCCCAAATTTAATAATTCTGAAATTGGAGGGTGAGGGTAGAATTAAATATGTTAACATTTCTAAGGACAGGTCAGTGATTGAATCTGTGCCTTCATAAAGGTCAGTCTGATGGTTCATATCCTGGTGGATGCATCCTTTTACAGAGGTTACTTCCTTTGTGCCCCTCTACTACTCTCTTAGTAGCAAAATAATGAACAACCTAAATGCAGATTCCTTGAGAATGGAGATTATGTTTTACTGTATTCCAGTCTTCATATTCCTGGAGCCTAGCAAATTTCCATGCACCTAATAGATGGCCAATTAGTGGGTTGAATTGAATCAAATTGAATTGATTGAATTGCATTGGAACAATATAGGGATGACCTGGTTTTGTACCTTTCTAGACCACTTCCTCTTTAAGAGATTTATATTGCTTATATGTATAAATTTAAAATTCTTTCAGTAATTTATAACTGACCAATATCCAGAGTTATATTTTTTCAATTATATTTCTTAAAATGCAACATGAAAAAAAAATGCAAATACAAATTAAAGGTAATGATGAAGATTTAAGAATCCCAAAATTCTATCTCCACTAAAAGGACTTTGGCAGTCATTTCTTATTTACAAATTTTATTCTAGGTCCTGAACTTTTTTGGCAGATTCAAACCTGTTCTTCTCACTTCTGAAAGAGTACAGATTATTATGGAGTCGTCAGTAAATTGTAAAAATCCAGATTACAGTTAGTATGTTTATGTCCTACAAGGATTTCAATAAATCATAGTATCAATAAGCATGAAGAAATTTAAATGCTGTTTTTTCATTATTTCCTTTCAGTATTTGGTTTTGCTGCTTTTATTTTTTAACAGCTTTCTTGAGATACTGTTCACGTACCATATAGTTCATTCATTAAAAATCTATAATTGGCTTTTAGTATATTCAAAGTTGTGTAGCCATCACCATGATCTATTACAGAATATTTTCATTACTCCAAAAAGAAGTCCTACAGCCCTTAGCCCCCACCCCCCAGTTCCTCCATCCCCTAGCAACCACTAATTTACCTTCTATCTCTGTAGATTTACCTATTCTGCACATTTCCCATAAATGGAATCCTACAAGGTGTGGTTTCTTTCAGTTAACATAATGTTTCAAGGTTGATCCTACATGTTGTAGCATGTATCAGCACTTCCTTCTTTGTTATGACTGGATAATGTTTCATTTTGTTTATTTATTAGTTGGACATTCGGATTGTTTCCACTTTTCAGCTGTTAGTAATAATGCTGCTGCAAATATTCATGTACAATTTTTTTGTGTGAAAATTTGTTTTTATTTTTCTTGTATAACTAGGAATGGAACTGCCAAGTCATATGTTAACTCTCTGTTTCACTCTCTGATGAACTGCGAGACTTTTCCAAAGAGGCTACAATATTTTACATTCCCATCAGCAGCATATAAAAGATTCCAGTTTCTCTACATTCTTCCCAATGCCTGTTATCTTTTTTATTATAACCATACTACTGGGTGTGAAGTGGTATCTCATTGTGGTTTTGATTTGCATTTCCCTGATGACTAATGATGTTGAGCATCATTTCATGTGCTTGTTGACCATTTGTGTATGTTTTTTGAGAAATGTCTGTCCAATTGCTCATTTTTTAGTTGGGCTATTTGTCTTTTCATTATTGAGTTGTAGGATTTCTTTATTCTAAATACAAATTTTTAAAATTAGATACGTGATGTGCAAAAAAATTTCCCATTCTGTGGGTATTCGTTTTACTTGATAGTGCCCTTGAAGCACAAGTCTTCAAATTTGATGAAATCTAAGTTATTTTTTTCTTTTGTTGCTTGTACTTTTGCCTTATCCAAGAAATCAATGCCTAATGCAAGATAATGAAGGTTTACTCCTATGTTTTCTTCTAAGAATTTTATAGTTGTTGCTGTCACATATAGCTCTTTGATCCAATTTGAGTTAATTTTTATATATGGTATTCTTTTATTTTTTTAAGTGCTGTGATCTTGGCTACCATGCAAGTCTGAACAGAGCCCTGAGAACATATCTGTCTGCAGAGTATAATCTTGAAACTTCCAGACATGAAGGCTTAGACATTATTGAGAATGCAGTTGACAATTTGGAGCCCAGGAGTGATAAGCAGAGATTCATGGAGATGTACCCTGCTGCATTCTGTCCACCAATGAAGTTTGAGTTTCAGTCTCACATGGGTGATGAGGTCAGTAATTGATTGTTTTAAAACTAATGAATTGTCTTTTCATTGTATTAGTTAGTTACTCTTCACCTGCTATAACCTAAGAGTTGTCAGAATTCCCAGTAGTGTTCTCTCTCCTGCCTTTGTTTGGGATCTTAGCTAGTTACATCCTAAGATCAGCCACTACCACCTTCCCCCGCCCTGCCCCCAGCCACAACCACCTCTTTTTTTTTTTTAAAGATTTTATTTATTTATTTGACAGAGAGAGACACAGCGAGAGAGGGAACACCAGCAGGGGGAGGGGGAGAGGGAGAAGCAGGCTCCCCGCAGAGCAGGGAGCCCGATGTGGGACTCGATCCCAGGACCCTGGGATCATGACCTGAGCCGAAGGCAGTCGCTTAACCAACTGAGCCACCCAGGCGCCCCAGCCACAACCACCTCTTAAAGCAAGGGTGGAGAGCTCAGATGCCTACAGAGGCCAAACCTATGTACAAACTCGGTTGTAAGCACTACACTGTCTCAGGATAGTTAGTCCTTCCTCCACCTCTAGACATTCAAATTTAAATTCAAAATGAAGCATTTTGCTGGCCCAACAGAATCTCTCTGAAGACTTCTTGTAATCTTCATTTAAAGATCCCAATAAAGAAAAATAATTGTAAATGACAGGAGCATGGGAGAGGGGGGGGAAAATGCAGAACATTTTTTAAGACTCACATTGTCTCCAAACTGGTAAAGTGAGCCTTAGAAATGATATATCTTAGGTTCTTTATATGAATTTAGCTTTCTATCCTGTTTTGCCCAAGGAAGAAAATCCATCTAAGCTGTGTACGAGTTGCAGTGGTGTATTTTATCGTCTGCGGCCGGGAAAACAAGAAGAACCAATTAATGAGCACACTATATGGCACTTGGTCTTCCAGCTGTGCAAAACAATACTCATAGATTAAAAATTCAATGTTAGCTTATTGTGGTGACAGTATGTTTTTAAAAATAGATACAATAGCAATGACAGATTTCTTTAATGTCATACTTTTTTCTGAGACACCTAGTGTTAAGATTTATAAGATATGTGTGTGCCTGCTGTATTTCTAACCCAATTTTATATTTGCTTGATCTGATAGAGTAAATTACTCCATTAGAAATGGTAAGCGGTTTTTATGCCAATAGCACATGAATTTGAGAGACAGGTGGCTTATCCCACACAGAGTTATGTTTCCAAAACCAAATGATTACTGCTATAATTTTTCAGTTACAGATATGTCAAACATAGAATGATAAAATATCACAGATGAGTGACTTCAGTTGGGTTAGTAATTTTTCCCTTTTTTTTTTTTTTTACTATTATTTTTAATACAATGAGTTTGTTGCCCCCTTTTTATAGCAAGTTCTGCCAGGGAGCAATAATCTCGGTGATGTTTTGGGGACTCCATAAAAGGAAACCTTCATCTGCCGAGAGCATTTCTATGACAAGGAACATGAAAAGAAACTTTGTTTCTGGTGCACTTTTAATATAACTAATATAATTAAAAGGCTCTAATTTTGACCTTAACCGTAATTGAGATCAGGTTATAAGAAGTGGCCTCTTCACATTCATGGTGAATCACATGATTTGGCTGATATTGGGAAGGCAAGCCATGGTTGAAAGATGCCAATAGTTACATTTTCTGAGTCTTTCCTCTGTGCCAGGCAGTGTTCTAAGTGCTTTCTGTACATGAACTTACTTCATCCCCACAAGGACCCCACAGTGTAGGAAATCTTAGTATCCCCATTTCACAGAGAAGGAAGCTGAGGGTTAGTAACCTACCCTGATCACCTATCTGACTGCAGCCAGTAGGCTCTCCTGTCTCCCCTACTTTTGCCTGTGTGGTTCATGTGGGCCCTCCTTTGCACTCTGCCCTCTGCCCCTTAATCATCCCTAATTCCACCAGTGAGACCTCAGCATCAGAGCTCCCTCTCCAGCAACTGGCCCGTTCTTAGATGCAGCGAAGCTTCCTGCAGCTGCTGTCTTCCCCGTCGTATCCAGGCCATGCAGCTGCATTCTGCCCTTGCCCCTTATGTAGCGTGTCCGTATTTAATACTGAAGCTTTGAGGCGGCTATTAAAAGTAAAGATGTCATTGGAATCTTGAGGGGATCCGTGTGACTCATGCAGCATCTAAGTAGGAAACCCGTGCCTCTGGAGGCCGGCTTGATGGCCCTGTTGTAACTGTGGTTTCTGATTCCCCCCAGGTGTGTCAGGTCAGTGCCCAGCAGCCGGTCCAGGCCGAGCTCATGCTCAGGTACCAGCAGCTGCAGTCCCGACTGGCCACGCTCAAAATCGAGAATGAGGAGGTGAGCATGCTTTCTGCCCCACAAGTCATCTGAATTCTAATGTATACTGGAAGACATTGTCACATGACCTAGGCATATTTAACATTCCAAATGCAATCTCTTCATCATACGTTTTCAGCTAAATCATGGTTCCTAAAATACCCCTTGTCAAAGATAAATCCAAAGATTCTGTATTCTACCAGAGATGAATCCTTTACCAGGGATTTACTACATACACACGTAAACACACATTTTATTTTTAAATTTGTAATTCATACTGAAAATAGTTCCCATAAATGATCAAATTCAACATATGTGTCCAAGAATACACAATAGTGTGGAAATAAAACTTGACTGACATGTTAATTTAATCCTAACTTCTGAAATTAGTAATTTCTTTGCTTTTTTGTATTCTTTAGATTTTTGGTACTAAACATGGCATTACTGATCCAATTAGTACAGAAATCATATTTTAAAATAGTACTTGAATGAGAATAGAAAACTTTATTTGCTGATATTAGTGGCTTTAGGTGGACAGAACATAAAATGTGAATTATAAATATATGTTGAGCCAGAAAGCAGTCATACATTTCAGCTGCCTGTTTCTGAAATTAATTTAATTGGATCCACGTTCTCCTTAAAATATGAACCACAAATGTTTCTAAGGCTCTCAGTCATCACCTACAGGAACCCAAATCAAACTAAACTCAAGTTAGAAAGTTTACTTACTGGTCAATGTTTGCATAGCCTCGGGCATGATGGAATCTGTATTCTGATGATATTATCAGGAATCTCTCTTTCCATCATTTTGAAGTTGTATCTTCACATGTCAGTTGGTAGTTGTTTTCCCTCATACTGGGATAGCCCAAACTACATGGTCCCTATAACTTGCCATCTCACCCCATCCCAGGGTCCTTATCTCTGAACTAGGATCCTTTATTGGCCTTACTTCAATCATGCATACTTCCAGACCAGCCATTACATGCAAGAAATGGGATTCTTTCATGGATCAGCTTAGATATTGTGCTCATGCATAGAGCCCTTTGACTGACAGCTCCACCAGAAATATGTATTTCTAGAGACAATTCCTGAAAGGAAGGAATGTGGGACAGAAAAAAGAAAACAATAACAATAATTCATCCTGAGGAAATGAATTACCAGAATGCACTTTGATACCCTCTTTTATTTTATAATCTCATGGGATGTTATGAACTCTGTGAACATATATTTGACTCTGTTAACAAACAGTGATATGTTTCTAGACCAGTCTAGTTTGGTCAAAATCCCTTGCAGCTTTCTGTCTTCCATTCTTTCTAGCAGAACCAAACCAGCCCTTATTCACACATGTGTTTAAGATGCAACCATGTGATTAAGGCTTCAGTCACTGTGTAAAGTCTCACAGATGAGCCTTTCCAAAGGAAAGCTATTGCTCTTCTGGAGGTGTTTTTGAGCTTGGGGTTTTGGCGAGGCATCACAAAATACTTGCCTGATGCAGTTTACTGGATCCTAATAGATCTACAGTTTGTACATCTAGTGACTTCCAATTTGTGTGTGTGTGTGTGTATTCTCCTGCTGTTTTACTTGGAAACAGTCTCTGAACTCTAGGAAAATAATGTGTTCTACACAAGGTCAAAACTGGCAGCCCACAGACCTGTTTGGTTTGGCTCCCACGTTTTTGGCCTGTTGAAAATGAGCAAGTCTGGCGATGCTAACCCTGCATTGCCTCATGAAGGGAAGAGCTGGGGTATTTGAATTCCACTTTGCCATAGTCATTCAACTCCCAGTTTTCTTACGTTGGACTATTCCATTTCTCTTGCCTGTCTGGCCTCTGCAGGCCTTTGAGGTTTTGACCCTTAATGTTTGCCCTTTTGAGCATAATGTAGAGAAGCACGGGGTCCTTATAAACTAATAGTGGCAGGCAGTGCTTTCTGAGGGTTAAAAGCATTTATCATAGAAACAAATGAATTAGATTGTCCTGATGTTTCCAGTGAGCATGACTGGTGGTTTATGATCTGCTGGACATGGGACAAATGCACTGTCATAGAATGGGATTTCCAGTGAAAGGAAGATTTAAATTGGATTTTTTTTTTAAGATTTTATTTGACAGAGAGAGACACAGCGAGAGAGGGAACACAAGCAGGGGGAGTGGGAGAGGGAGAAGCAGGCTTCCTCTGAGCAGGGAGCCCAATGTGGGGCTCGATTCCAGGACCCCGGGATCACGACCCAAGCTGAAGGCAGATGCTTAACGACTGAGCCACCCAGGCGCCCCTTAAATTGGATTTTCGACAATCAGTAGATTTCCATTGATAGGGAAGAGGGAAAAGTTGTTTCAATATATTTCAAAATGCCCTGGAAGAACCTTGGTTTCCCAGAGAAATTTGGTCATCATCCAGGCTCTCCTTGAGGATAAGCCAAAGGTGAAGCTGAAGTCAGATGACAAGAGACTTTGAGAGCCAACTTAAGGGATTTTGACACTGTGAATCAGCTCATTTCAGTACAATAAATATTTGTTCATCAGCTTCTACGTTCCACATATTTTGCCAGGTGTGGGGAGTACAGTGATGAATGTCACAGTTCGCATCTGTCTTGCGTGAGGGCCAGACTATAACAAGTCATTTATATAATGCAAAAAGTAAGGGATGTAACTTGGGAACAAGATAGCAGTCATTCCTGATTTGGAGTCCTTTATAGCACTCTTCTCTACCATAAATAAAGAATTTGCCTCTGATCCTCCACTGATAGAGGTCAAAAAATTGACACATTGCTCTCAAACCAAAGTATACAAGTAAAGAAACATGTATAATTCTCTGCCTCTGCACAAACAGATATACACAAAGTCCAAAATTCACTGGAAAGAGTTCAGTTAACTAAAAATAATTATGACTGCCCAGTGAAAAGATAAAAGTTGAAAGAGAATCTCATCCAAGTTTACAAAAAGCATGGACAGTGCAGCTAAATAGAATATGAACCTTTTCACCAAATCTTAAACAACTACAAATAATGGGCACCATTTGAAACTGTAGGAAGCCTTTTTAGAAGGGAATTTCCATGCTGAGAGCTTACAGACCATGGACAAATTTTGTTTGCTTTACAGTGCTTGAGTTTTAAAAATTAGTTGCTGTCATTTAAAAATTAGAAGTTTTGAATAAAAATATGTTTCCAGTTTCTAAACAGGTAGAAAGTCTGATCATACTAGACCTGCATTTCTGCAGGACGATAACTGGCTGGAGCTGGGATGCTCCCTTTAGACAGAGAGCATGTCCTTCCTGTTTGCCATGCTCCCCACTCAGCCCACTTGCCTTATTGTCACTACTTCCTTGGCCCTTGAGGATATATGAGTTTGCAGCACCGGCCTTAGAACAAAGAGAGCAGTAAGCATTTGTGAAATGGCCTCAGTATACTGGCACATAGTAAAAGCTAAATGAAGTTTCGAGAAGGGCTTCATTGAATTTGGGGTGGATACAGATTTATAATGGATTGTTGTCTCCTCACAACTTCACATTTGCCTGTTAGGCCTTTTAAATCATACGAGCTTTCAGTTTCAGTATGCTGCACACTTGCATCACTGGTACCTCAATCCTAATGATTTCAACCTCCTGTCAGCCCGCCAACAAATATTTATTAGTGCCCACTGTGGGTTGTACGCATAGAATTGGAGCAGAGCCTGCTGCCCACACAACTTTATCCTCATTTTTTTTTTTTGTTTTCTTTTTCTTAAACACTTTCAAAGCAACCTATATCTAAATAATCATTGGTACCTTTCTCACTATAAATATTCTCTAAGCTTATTTCAATCTAATGTTGCACAGTCTTGCACATATTCTTCAAGTTCACTTTTAATCTTTGTTTCAGGGATTTCAGCGTGGGGGTCATTCCCTCTGCTCCTTTCTTTCCAGGCTAGCTCTGGAGTAATTCCCATAGACTGCAGTTCCCTTTTCTTAGAGTTCCTCTCTCTGCCCTTTATCTAGACACAGCCAAAGAAAAGGAGAAGGAATTGTCTTAGTAGAGCAATTATGCTTTTCGTATTTTTAGTACAGCCTTAGTTTTAAGTAGTTTGCCCCATTTTCAGATCATTTGTCCCCACATTTGGTCCAGAAGGTAGAGTTTTCTTAAGCGATCACTTCTGTGCCATGACTAAAGCCTCATGTATAAAATGAGTTTCTCTTAAGTTATAGATTTATCCCCCTGAAGGGAATGGAAGAGAGAGGAACCTGTGATTCCTCAATTAATTTGCAACACTGTTTAATGAACTGACAACCCCTTATAAATTTTCCTGTCTTTACTTAAAATCTTTAACCAAGAGTTTACTAGGGAGTAATTCATAGACTGTTCCAAAAATATATTCCTTACACAGGGTATTTTCAACCGTAATGAACAAGATTTTATGTAAACATTTGAAACAATTTTCATGGCCTGGGTAATTGAGAGAAGAGAGATTTTGGTTATACCTTGTAGAAAAATCACATTGCTCCCCAAAACATCCCATAATACCACTGACTGCAGCACAATGCCAAGTCATGGAAATCAGCGATCAAACCCTTAGGGGCTATCATCAGATTCTTCTAAGACTTGGTATAAGATGTGGAGCTTGATAATTACCTAATCATAATTACTATTTTTGATCTTCTCTGTGGCTTTAACTTCATTTTTTCTTATTTAAGTATTTTTTTTTATTTAAGTATTTCTTACTTGCCTGCAACCTTCTATTGATGAGGTTAACAGTAGGAACCTAAGTAAAAGATAACTGCCATTTATCCGTCAAATGATACCATTATCTTGACCAAAATTGAAAACAAGGATCAACTGTCATTCACGAAAACACTTTTTTTTTAAAACATGTATTTTTAGAAGCAGTGTGTATGATGTGTGTGTGTGTGTGTGTGTGTGTGTGTGTGTGTGTAGTTTCAAATAAGCTTTAACTCCCTAACAGAAGCAACTTGATCCAGAAGAATACCAAGCAGAGTGAGGAGAGTTTCTAGAAAGGGTCTAAAAGTGAGTCATGGGATAGGGCAGCCTAAATA